AAATATTACAAACAACAAACCTGTACTGTTAAAATTGTCATGAAGTTAATTTTAATCATTAATAAAATTAAATGCAAAACATGACAAATATTACATGTGTATGACAACTCTGTTCATTAACCCACCCGTTTACTATACCTGTTAATCACTGTTTAAAAAAATCGAAAACTAGATTGATGCTGCTGTGTATTGTGCTACGGTATTAGGAAGTCAGAGAAACACTTAAAAAATGCCGATTTTAAATAGTGTCTATGTGTTTCTGCTTGTTTGTTTACTCAAATACACTATTGTTGGAAGGCGAAAGTGCCAGTCAAAAAATTCCCCCAGTGGTATATCCGCAGTCTAAATAAAGATCTTTATACTACTTGTATCTTAATTCCTATTTTCATACAGATATTTATGTGAAGAACTATGCTCTAGCCTAAGTGACTTGGTTTCAGAACTACTGTTAATACTCAAAGCTGTTATGATTTTTGAAAATGCAAACAAACAAAACATGTTTGAACAACACTTTGATAAGCCAGATATGTACTGCCAGCCATTGGCTAACTTATCTGATAAGCCCAGGGCAACCCTGAGGTAACCTACAGACTGTTGCTATTTTGTATGGTATAAGTTATTTCCTATGATACATTCAAAAGCTTCCCCCATTTCTGGGCTACCCTTCCCAAATGCGTTCTCGGTCAAAAATTGGTCTTCCTGACCTTACCAGTGTGGCTCAGGTAGCTGGAGCATCGTCCCATTCACCAAAAGGTTGGGGGTTCGATCCCCAGTGAGGGCACATACCTAGGTTGCAGGTTTGATCCCTAGTCGGGGTGCGTATGAGAGGCAACCAATTGATATTTCTCTCTCACATCGATGTTTCTCACTCTAAAATCAATCAACAAACTTCAAATTTTTTTAAAAATTGGTCTTTCTACCTTCACTAGTGTTTCACGCCTGCATCAACTCAGTTACAAAACCCCATGCATTATCCCACTGTTTCTGCAGCTTCCTTGTTCGAAGGCAGGACAATAGTAAATAACACACATTTTCAAAATTAGCTGTCTCACTGTATGGTATTAGCATGGATATGAATAGTTAACTATACAAACAAAACAAAACAAACAATAAAATGCACAAATGTCTGTCCACACAAATATAAATCTTTTGTTGAAGTTCAAGGGAGACAGCTAGGTTAATAACTTTCATCTGACCAGAAAACTGGCTTGCATTTGGAAGAGGACTTTCCTGTCTCGGTCAGTCAGTCAGTGGAGCAGCAAAATCTTTCCCCACTTCTGACTTGCTCCTATAGAGTATCCCAACTCCAGCCACTATGGCACAAACTGGAGGGCTGTGTCCTCTAGTCTCTCCCCTCAATTTCTCAGCACCTAAAGGGCTAAAACACAGTGAACTTCTAATCCAATGGTCCACAGTTCTGAACTCTTACTTACAAAGCCAAAAAAAAACAAAACAAAACAAAAAAAACCCAAAATGATGACTCTTACTGAAGAAACAATCAAACATGCATGCTCTACATTAAAAAGTTCACATGAATAAATGTGACTATATTAGTTCTGTACCTACTTGATCTTAATTCTCCAGGAAAGCATGAGCCTGTGCATACTTTTAGGAAGGAAAAAAGGAAAAAAAAAAAACACATACTTTAAACAGGACAGTTTGAGTTTGAATATTCTGATAAGTGGAGGGCTTAACTCCCTCTTCACAAAGATATCTAAGCTCTGGATTTCAGTTTGCTTCCGATCTGTTACTATAAACCCTGCCAGGCTCTTCTGGCTGAAGGATACTAGATATGTGGATAGGCAAGGATCACTTTCTCCTCAAGATACCTCAAGGATGAATTCACAAGGAAATTCCCAGTTCTTGTTAAACTCAATTGTTTGCATTGCCTCCGCTGACAGGTTGAGGACTCATGTTCTGTTGAGCTGCTCGGAGCACAGGGGAGCTGCTGGTCACGAGGACGGTCACCCCAGGACTCGGACAAGAACCATTACCATTGGGGGCCTCCTGATGTCTGCAGCAAGTTTTGCTAAAGATGTTTAAAGCAAAGGCAGAGGGGCAATTTTCTACTCTCTCAACTCCGAAAGGGACTCACAAAACTCCTTAGAAGGGTCGAGGAGCTTGACAAAATCATTGCCACTTCCGATCACCAAGCCCTTGAGAGGGAGCTGTTGTTCACACAGGTGACGTCTGCGATACCTGCACATTGGACCTGACCAGTATCTCAACTTGAGACATTTATTAGCAGATTGAGACAAAGTGGGCCACATTTCCTTTAAAACACTAACATCGCACCTCCCCAGCCCCAGAAAAAACCCAAACTAGATCAACTTCTTAAGCACAGCGCTGAGGTGAGCCAAGCTGATCGTCATTTTGACCTTGCTTTGCTTTAATTCAGGAGCCTATTAAAAATGTAATAAGTAACCCTCTTCATTCGGCTCAGCTAGCAGAGCTAATAGGCTTCGAATTAATTTCCAGATGATGACTGTTAGAACTAACAGGTTTTAAACATTTGGTTGATTGGGGAAAATGAATTGAATATAATGTATTTGATTTGGGAAATTAGTTTTCATTCTATGTGCTAACCATAATAGTGTTTATTTTAAGTTTACATGATTCCATTAAGAGTCCCAGAACACCACCAGGTTGTGATCATCCTTAGAGTCCTATCCAACTTAAAAAAAAAAAAAATCAACTTACGTTTTGATTTTTGTAGGCCTTTGAGGGCAAGTGAAATTCATTTTTGTGGCTTTAATAAAAATTTTTGCTTGTTAATAAAGCAACAGGCCCCCAAACTTCAAAATATGATCCCTGCGATACCTCAAAGAAGCCTCCTCACTCACTGAAAGCAAATCCGCTGGAGAAGGGATAGGGCACAGAGTAAGATGAATCAGTTAACACATTGTTTGTGAAGTTTCACTTGATTCCTCCTGACTACCACTTAAACAATGAATGTTGGGAAATGTCCCTCAAAGAACCAACAACAATGGCAGGGATCAGAGCTTTTATATTTCGCTAATACTATTTTTAAAAGAAGTAAATATTTCTTCCTGAAGGGATTATAGGAACCCTTATTAAAGACACCTGCAAACAAAACAAGTGACATCAGATCTTTATCATAATTGATAACTGACCTATCCTTTATACGGAGCTCCTTCCTTAGAGACAATAATGTGGAGATTTACCTTTGCTGTTAGATTCAAGAAATCAGCTAATTGGGACTACTGGTATTCAACAATGATGAGATTCACCAAGATTAAGGGAGTGAATTTAAAAAAGGCCTTGCTCTCAGGTGAAATAAAAGCACAGTGAGCCTAGAATTTTTTCTCTTCAGGCTGAGAATATTTTATACTAAAATTAGGTAGCACCTATCCCTGTTTCTTCACCTGTCACGCAAAAATATGGACATGACATGTTTTCTCTATCTGCGTGCGAAGCCCAAGCCAACCCAGCTTTGGAAACTTAACCTTGGCCTCGCTTACAGTTGCAAAGAAAAGGGACCTTTCATAGACTCTTTCAGAGAGTAATTAAGAATCATGTCAAAAGGTGACACAAAGATCATGTTTTAGTGGAAGATTACTTCTTGGGGCTAAATTACATAGCTAAACCCAGCAGGACACGTTTATAAAATAAGTCTGCAGAAGGGAAAAGAAAATCAGACATGTTTGTTTGCAGTAAAAAGTATTCTGCCCGAGTCTCAGCTTCCTTCACGCTGGTCAACAGTAAATGGCCTTGCCCACTGGCTGGGCTGTTTGAAACCGGTCAGATGTCCGTTGCTGCATTTCTGTGTGACTAACAGGAGCACCTGCCATCATCGCAGGCCGACAACTGATTTTTTTGGACATAGGTAATTTTCCAAATTAGGTAATTCTGGCTCCTTTTATAGCAGTGGCTCCAGGAAGGGCAAAAAGGAGGGGGAACCATCAGGATCAAGCCGTAACTGCACACCCCAACTGCAGCATTTCGGCTGCCTGGCCTTTGGGTGAGCTCATGGTGAGAGGCCTCTAAGCTGGCACTTAGGAAACGTCGAAAAGGTTCATGAAGTGTTGGCAACAGTGGCTGCGACTTTAGAATACGTGCGGCCTTTGATTAATGCATTTCATTTCCAAAATAAACACTTGGAAATGAAGAAGAAAGTCCCCCAGCCTGAATCGCTGAAAAGGAGACAGAATTAAACAACCAAAAAAACATCCCAGATGAGCAACAACTCTGAATGAGGAGATGAGAGATGAGATGACCCAACAGTATTCTTTCAAAACCTCAAATGTACAGACAAAGCAAACACTTTATAGAAGGTATTTCTGTGGGATTGTTGGTTTTCCTTAAAAAAGACACCTTAAGACTTAGAGCAATCTACATGTGAAAGAAAAGCTGCCTAAAAAAAACAAAAGAAGACATTTTCTGAGATGACTTTGATCCTGTACTCAAATTATTATTGGCTTAATCAGATTTGCCTTTAAAGGCTTTGCATCTGCAATAACTCTCTCTATTATCCTTGTTAACAAAGTATTATTTTCACCTTATTATTACTAATCTTTTCTTTGTGAGTAACCACACCTGGTTTTATCCACAAAAAAAAAAAAAAAAAAAAACCGGTGCAGTAAATATTTTTCCTTTGTGGTAATACAATGCATAATTTAGTTAATCTAGGCTATCTTTCCGTGAGAGGTGATTGTTTCTATATTATGAAATGTGCTCACAGTAAAGTGAACTTCGCGCCAGATACCTGGAAGGCAGGTGGAGAACCACTTACCAAGCATGTAGCTGCTTTGAACCAACTCTGACAGGACTGTGTAGCCACTCCCACACACGAGGCATTACTCATGTTAACTCAGCCTCCGAGTCATCGCCTCGCCTTCCTTTGACAAACATGGCCTTTCATGAAGATAACCTGACACATCGCCAGGCGGCAAGGCCCACCCTGAGCCCCCATGAGTGAGCCCCGGAAAATGGGGAACTTCTGTTTTCCCCTGGAGAGCTGGACATTGCTGTTATGTTACCTGGGTGAAATCTAGGTATGTCAGGGGCAGCATGTCATCCATGTGTCCAATGTCTTTGGAGAAACGATTTAAAATCCTCCCTGCAAGAACAGGATATGAGAAATTACTCATTTCCCCAGATAGGTCCTTTAAGAGAAACAATTCACAAATAAATCAAAACAATATTTTAAATGCATATGTATTTAATATGTAACACATTCATATGAAATAAGCCAATGTCAGTGGTAAAGAAAAAGAAAACAGAATGATACCTAAAGAGGAACAAAAATACCACCAAATGGCAGGGGCTGGGGGCTGAAATAGGCCATGATTTTTAAAAGACGGGGGTGGGAAGGGGAATCTTGTGACAGTATCTGGAAATGTCAGTGGATTTGGGAAGGTTCCCTCCTTTTAGATCCCATCTCAGACTTCAGTCCAAGTGCTAAGTAAGTAAATAAACAATTGCATTTAAAATACATAAATTAATCCTAATTGTTACACTAATCTTGCTGTAGTTATCAGAATTAATTTTGCTAAGTGGCACTTTTTAAATAACTGTATTGATCAACTTTTTTTTTTGGTCCCCCCCCATAAAATGGTTCACAGTGCCTCACATTTTGGGAAAATCTGTAATCCTGCCATTTTCAAGCTGTGAGTTTATTTCTGGGGTAACAAGTTGTTATTTTCAGAAGTGCACTGGGTATGACAAACACAGACTGACCCTAACATCCAAGAAGACAAGAGGAATAGAGGCAGAAACACAGAAACATTTTCCAAGGATCAAAGATCATTTCTCACCACTGATTTTACTTCCCCCCTCAGAATCCAAGAAAAAAGTATATTCTAAAGGCTTCAGAATCAGAAGCTCAGAACTAATGTCTAATAAATATCTAGTCTTTCAAATGATTCAGTGCAAAAAACGTTGAAGCCCCACATACACACAGCCTATTTGGGTGTGGGCAAGTCTTGAGAAATGTGTTTCTCTAGGCTCTAAACTTCTGTAATTGATGCTGCAAGAAAACCACAAGGAGGTGAGACAGATGCAGGGCGCTCCTCCTAAAGGTGGTCAGAGGTGACTTCCTCCCAAGGCCCTTCCTACCAAGCCACCCCCTGGGCCACGCGGAGCAACAGGCTGGGAGCTGAGCTTCCACTGCTGGAGAAATGCTGACTCTGCAGTCCTCCCACAGGATGCCTGGGCTCAGCCAGAAAGCACAGGGTGTGCCTGAGCGCCAAGCCGGAGCACTGGAGGCTTTCACGCCTGGCCAGGCCACGCCTCAGCAAGCTGGGCCTCAATTTTTCTGTCCCAGGCTTCGGGATCATGGGCTCCAGAAACGGTCTTTCAGCGACACCTTTGGCAGCCCCAGTGACAACTGCTCTTTAGAGGGTAAGTCTGAGGATTAAACAGGTTCATGCATGTGAAAGAGCCCAGTTGCAATGCCAAACAGGTACTCAAAAGCAAAACAAAGAACTCAAGGTGAGGAAGTTACAGGGGTTCTACAGATGTCACCCGGAGAAGTCTCCCAGGCACCACCACATGGTCAACTGACCAAAATGCAGATTCCGATTCAGAAGCACTTGGACGGAGTTTGAGATTCAGCAGTTCTACCGGGCTCCCCGGTGATGCCCTTCTGCTGATTCCCAGACCACAGTTGGAGGGGCAAGGGATTCAGTTATTAACCAGTCAGTCGTACTTTGGGAACACTGACCTCAGATGGGCAATGCTTCCCATATTCTTTTGGATTCTGTGGCCTACCTATTTTTTAACTTCTCAAAGTATCAATAGCCAAATAAGGAAAATACGTCAAAAGAAATGTTAAAAACATAGTTTAGGTGCTTGTTATTTCTTCAGTAGAAAAATACAACTTTTTCACATACCCGGGATTCAGAAGCACTACAAGTATGGTTCAGCTTAAACAATGCTGAAAGCAATCTTCAAGTTAAAAAAAAAAAAAAGGGATAAAAAAGCTACACAGTGATGAAGAGCATGTGAAACCATCCGCTTTACCTTCTACCTGATGTGAGATCCCTCAGGTCTGAGAGAGCAGAGTTGGCAAAGAATGTAACATGCAAGGAAAACACAGCTGAGAAACACCCTCTCCCTACAAGGCCACCATCATCCCTGACCTGAATGTCAAAGACGATCAAAACTAAACTCTCATTCACCAACGAGCTGGGTATAGAAAATGCGAGATTAGAAGGTTCAGTAGTTACTTCCTTGCTCTAAGAAACAAGTATGAGAATGAATGGTGTTTGCAGAATAGTTCATGTGGCTTTGCGATAGACTGTTGTAATCAGAGCTGTGACTTCAAGTTCACAGCCTCATAGTCACAAAGTTTTCCCAAAGGTCTCCAAATTAAACCCTTACGATAAATCCCCTTCACACGCAGGCTACGCCTCTTCATTGGAGTGGCTTGTGGCCCCCGCTACAGGATCTCCAGGGATGCAGAGCCAAGGGGGGGTCCACCGTGACCAGAGGGCCCAGTCTGTTTTCTGACCGCTGGGCTAGGTCGCGCTTTCTTACATTAAGCCAACTCTTGCGTCCCGGAACACACAGCCTGTGCTGCTCATTCTATCCCTATAACCGTGTGAAGTGAATTTAATTCTTCCTGGCATGACAGTCCTTCACATACTCAAAGGAAGTTAATTATGTCCTTTCCAGACTTCTCACCACCAGCTAGTCCCTGGTGCTTTTGCTATCCCTCATAAGGCACGGTGTCCCAGTGCGGCCGATGCCTCCTGAGACAGCCTCCGATGGCCTGTCTCAGTTCATGCCTTGTGTCCAGGAATAAAATCAATTCCCCAGGTATGTGGGATCACCTTGGGGTAAAGCAGTAACACCGTCGCCCCATTCTGCACAGGATATGGCCAATCACGAAGCCCGCCATCACTGTAAGTTCCGGCGGCCAGATCACTTTTTAGACATGAACAAGTCAATAAGGTATTGTGTTATATATTTTAATTTTTCTATTATTCTTCTTCTAAAAGACTGTGCGGTACTTGTATAAAAAAGGTATAGAAGGGGAAGAGAGAATGAATGGGAAGATGGGGGGAGGGGAGGAATGGAGAGAAGGGGAAGAAGAGGATTGGAGCAAAGGGAGGAGGGGGCGGAGTATAGGAGGAGGAGAGGGGGCAGAAGGAGAGAAGGAAGGTGGGAGGGGTCTCCCTTGAAGTCAGTACTATCAGAGAACCACTCTGGGTCCTACTAACTGCCCTGGTTCCCATTCTTCTGTCCTGTCCATAAGATAGGATTTCATGAAACATTGTCATAGAACGTCTTGTCAAAACACAAATTCATTAAGTGTTCATGTTTAAGAACTGATTCCACAATTTAAGCTGGAATGAATTCTGACAACTCTTCCATATCCAGGATTCCTCCCATATCTAGAATTTCAGCTTATAAGTAAACTGTTATCTAAACCCTGGAAGTTCCCATGTCTAGTTTAAGCTCTATTCCTTTTTCTTTTCTTTTTTTTAAAGAGGTGTATCAAATATATCAAAATATTGAGGTATATGGTAAATCTCATAAAATCTGTCGATTCCAGGTGTATAACTCGATGAATTTTAGTAACTAAATGACATGGCCATCACCGTAAATCAGTTTTAAGGCATTTTTATCCCCTCATAAGATCCCCCGTACCCTTTAAAGTGACTATTTCCCACCCCCAGCCTCAGGCAACCACTGATCTACTTGTTTTCTCTGTAAATCTGCCTTTTCAAGACACATCACACACATGGAATTGTATAGTACGTGACCTTTGCCTAGCTTCTCTTGCTTATCTTAACGTCTTTGGGGTTTGTCATGACACAGCATGTTTTAGGAGTTCCTTCTGGACCCCATCCTTTAGCATGAAAGTGCTCTTAGGAACTGGCAAAAACAACCCTACGCTAGGCCACACCACTCCTGACACTGAGGGTCAGGAAGCCTTCGATACCGTGAACTTCTTTACAAGTGCCCGCATTTCGTTTCATTGATGGCTCTAGATCCCAACTCTTTTGGTAGGAATTGGCCATGGGTTTGAGGGCCCTGCAGAGTCCAAAGCTGGACTCTGGGTCCGGCGGTGGCGTGGGGAGGACAAGTCAAAGAATCCCCATCCTGCTGAGGGGCGGAACCTAACCCCAAGCAGCCCACCAGAGTCCCTCAGAAAGGGCAGAGAATGACCTGTTCCTTCCAGGCACAGTGCCACATGATGGGGCAAAGCTGCTGCAAAGGACAGCGTGTTCGGTGGAGCCCAAGAGGGCCCCTGGGCTGACAAGGACCACAGGGAGCCAAGCAGGGGGCTGAGCCAGTCTGGACTTCCGGTGTCACTCTACATCAATTACTAATTCCGCGCACCCCAGCCTGCGGGGAGGGGCAGGAGCTGCAGAAGTCTGCGAGCTCAGCAGCCCCAATGCCGCCACTGCAGCTAGAATAGGTCGGCAGTGAGGGGGCTGCTCCAGAATGTCACGAAGCTGAAAGAGCAGCAGGAATTGGGAAACCACCCCGGGAAAAACCGAAGTCCTCGTCCTCCTCCGGCACTCGGTAGCAACAGGCCTTCAGGCGACCGATCCACCCTCCACTGGGAGGCAAATCCCTTATCTGTACAACAGAGATGATAACATTTGCTTCCAATGCTTCACAGGAAAAGAAGATTATGAGGATAAAAGATATGCTTATGAAGGCGCCTTGTAAGCTGTCAAGCAGCACACCTGTGCAAGGTGTGAGTCACATTACCGTTATGGGACTGGAGAGCTTTGAGGGGCATGAAAGGTCTCCAGGCAGGGCCAGCAATTTCCAAGCTTCATCCTGCGAAGACTGAGATTTTACGAAGGTGCCTTGAAATGTGAGGCAGAAGAGGAAATGGCGGCCATGTTCGCCCAGGTCCGGAAACCCCACCCTTGTCCCTTACACTGCCTGTCTCCTCCCACCAGCCTCCTCCCAGACGGAGCCCCTTACACCCATCTGGACGTTCACACAGAGGGCTTTCCAGCCTCCCCTTGGGAACCAACGTAGGTAGGTCCCGACCCTAGCAACCCAGAAGCCTTGAGCAGAACAACCGCCAGATGTGCAAAAAAGAGATTGCTCAAGAAAGTTAGATGAATGGGTTTTATAAAGTAAATTTTC